ATCTCATTCTGCCCATCTTGTTCTTGTGTTTTACTAAGTCCCTACATTTCCTGCCTTGATGATATTGTAAGTCTCTTTGTTGGGCCATATTCTGATTTGTAGAGATTGTAGAATATAATATGTATATATGTATGTATATATATAATCACATGTTTCTTTCTTTCTTTCTTTTCCTCTTTTTTATTTTTTCCTTTTCTGAAGTCAATTGGAATGTTTATGGAGAAACCAATGCTCACTTACTAGTCTGTGAAGATGCTTCACTCCAAATTTGGGTCCATGGACTAAATTTGCAACACGACATGGCGTACCCGTGAGACTGTATTCTCATGAAAACTAGACATCTTGATTATAACTTACAAAAATTCACTAAATTTTATAACTTACAATTACTCTAAAATGACAGTGTCACTAAAATTAAAATCTATAAATGTTTCAAACTGTCATTGCTAGTTTTACAACCCTAACGTAAGAATTTCAAACTCTTCATTTAATACACCTTACTCTATAATTCCGAGAACGTGATCGTCAGTCTATTTACCTCTTCATTTATCTTCTAAAGATATGCAATCTTACTTCCAACTTATAGCCGATAATATATATGACTTAATTAGTTCACATATGTTATTTCATTTACTTATTTTTATCTTAAATAATCCTATAAAACATATGAATCTTTTATAAAAAAAGTAACTGAAATGGTTTCTAAAAAAAAAAAAGATTTCCCTATTCTGAAAGTTATCCATTTTGGAAAGTTTCCCCTCTTGAAAAGACTTCTCCTTTTAAAAAGTATTTTAATTCAATTATCTCTAAGAAAAAAGTTTCTATTTTGATGTAAATAGGCATATATTGGTTCGAGTTGCATTTGAATTTGGGCTTGACCCTAGAGTCAAGCCTACTCTTGAAAAAGACTTCTTTTTATTTAATTTGGATTTATAAACAAACTTGGACTTGTAATATTTTTATTGAGTTTGTTTGTTTAAATTTGGGTTACTATAATAAAGTCGAGCCTTTAAATAAGTTCTTTGAAGAGCTTTTAAAAAAAAATTGGGTTATTATAACAAAGTCGACCTTTTAAATAAGTTCTTGGATGTATATAGCCCAAATTGGGTGTTTGCTCAATATTTCAGCTTCTAAACTTCTTTGAAGAGTCGGGAATTTATAAATTGGGCTTTATGATCCATAAGTTCAATTATAGATAGGCCTGTCAACGGGTCGGGTCTAGACCCGGATCCGGACCGGATCCGTGAAATTATTGCGGGTATGGGTAGGGATTTAATTCCGTTTCCCGGATCCGGATCCGGATCCGTTTTGTCAAACAAAAAAACGGGTCGGATATGGAATATAGTATTCCGACCCGTATTAGACCCGGATCCGGATATAAATGAATTAATAATTTAAAAAATATATATTTATCAATATAATTTGATTAGGGTGATGTATTTTAATAAAGTTAATTTGATTTCTTTTCTTATTTGATTTTTTCTTTGCATTAGTTAGAAATTAGTTTACAAATATATTTTTTTCTCATTTTTATTAGAAATTATAAATTTTAGTAAATTTGTTCAGGTAGACCCGGATCCGGATCCGGACCCGCCGGATCCGGATCCGGAACATAGAATAAAAGACCCGTCGGGTAAACGGGTCGGATCCGGATCCGGCATAGTAATTCGGGTCCGGGTCCGGAATAATGAATTCCGGCCCGGACCCGGCCCGTTGACAGCCCTAATTATAGAACAAACAAATGTCCCCTATAAGAACATAAGCCCTATATGCATGGACCCAGAAAGTTTCTTATTTTTTAACCTTTAAGGCCCACTAACTGTATTAGTCCCAAGATAACATTCCCAAAAATTTTCTGATGGCCCTTTTCAATTTTGGCAAATGTGAAATCGGATCCCAAAAACAAAAAACAATTGTAAAAGGCCATTAGAACTTGGACCAGTCCAACAAAAACAGCCCAAGAGTTTGCTATAATCCCTCAGCCCAATTAACTAATTAAATTATCCAAGTAATTGAAACTCGCAAGGGCCACAACAGCATCAACAAATGAAATTAGTTTTGATTGTTTCTTAAAACAGCTTTTAACTTCTCAAAACATTGAAAACAAGGATGATTTTTCATTGTTTCAAACAAAGTTTTGAAATTATTTCATATTTGAATACCAAAACTACTCATACGTAGTTGAGACCAAACTCCAAGTAAATGTTAAAATTGCAAATAAGGAAAAATGGCAATTATACGTAGCGTATTTAGAATGTTGGCTATGCCAGTCGAGAAAATCTTGATCTAATAATTAAGATCGAGACCCAAAAAATTAAAAATCATTAGTTCAAATCCTCCTACCTCCTCCCGCTTATTAAGTCCCTCCCCCAGATTAGTCAAAAATGATTGATCAACAATTTTACTTTTACCTCCGTAGAGTTATCAGCTGTTTTTACTTTCCTCTTTTGTGTCATGATTTTTAATTTTTTGCAACCTGAAGTTACACACCTATTAAATATTGTATTATGTACACAGATATGGACAGAAAACGACAGAATTTTCCTTGTGAAAGGTGACATTCAATCTTGTAGGTTTTCCGTAATTGTGTAAGTATTTTAGCAAGTTTTGATAACCAAATGATCGAAACAGAGAATTTATGAGCAAATTAACCGTATTAAGGAAGAAGACAAGATTCACTTGTTCTAAACCTTATATCTTGATGCAACAAGTCGGTTAGGTGCTTGACTAAACCTTCAATCTTTTAAATAAAAGCCCTCCTCATATAATTTCTCAAATATTGAGTCATGATAAGGTGAAGATAGAAATTAAATTAAAGATTCTAAAAATTTTTAAAGATTCTTCTAAATTAGAATATTCTTACTACGTCTATTCTTACTAGAATATTTCTCAACTTTGAACTCCAACTTTCAAATGATTATTATTACGTCTATTCTAAAAAAAGAGTAACAACCTTTTATGAAGCGGCAAAGATTAAAGATGTTAATCACAATTCAATTATGTTAACTTAATCAAATCCGTCCAAACCCGTCCACTAATTTTGAATGGGTTTAAATGAGTATTCAATTAAACTCATTTAATTAGTAGGTAGTGAGCTGACTCGACTCATCCATTTATACACATTTAAAAATAATTATATATTTAAACTTAACTTTTAATGAGTATTAAGTAAATAAATTTGATTTTTTATCAATTTAATAACAATAAACAACTGTTATTTCTTTTCAAACACCATGCAAAAAAAAAAATTAAAAAAAAAGTAAAATTGTAAGTGACTCATAAATGAGAAATTGGTTATACCTGTACCCACTCATAAATCGGCAATTGGTTATACATGTACCCATTTATTAAATTGGTATAAATAGATAACCATTTATACTCGTTTATTTAAATATGTATAAATGGGTTGACCTAATTTTATCCATTACTCAATCATGACCTGTCTAAATCCGTCCAAATCACCTATTTTGACACATTTAGCTAAGATATTACAAGAGAAGTAATAGAAAAGAGCGCAACAACCTTTTAAGGGGGCTAAGATATTACAGTTAGTGTGCCAATATTTACACAAGGAGGATACTGCACGGCATTTTGTTAATTTGTACCACCACTTCTTCCTTCTTAATTCATGTGTCTGATGAAAGAAATGTAAATGAACCACGTACTTCAGCTTTGTAAAGCTTACATATTTTGATTTTCTTGGTGATTAGTTGGTCACTGTGTTTGCCTGTCATCTCACTTTCTAGAGCCTTGGCAGCAAAGCTAGACGGTAACATCCACATGTATATGATGTAAACTTACTATAGTGGAGTCAACTATTACATCTAGCTATTGCAGAAAATTTGGGTCTGTTTGAACACGTGATTTTATCCGTTATATTTGATTTCAAAATAAGTTATCATGTTTGGATGTGGACATAGAAGTTATAATTAGTTTCATGAGGGAAATTTTTACCTACTATTCATTTCCCAAGAATCCACCCGTTTTATTTAGATTCCTTGTATGTTTCACTAACAAATGCATAGGTAATCATTGGTGTTTTATGAGGATGAAAAGCAAAAGAAAACTACCTGCCTCTTTATTGCTCTCTCTCATCTGATTTCTCCATCCTTCATTTTCGTAGTGACCTGCAATACTTGGGTCACCCTTTCAGAAAGGTTAACTGTTAGCTTTGGTGAATTATCGAAGGAGATGCAAATTGATCTATTTGTTGACGAGCAATTGACTTATCATTCATTGTTATTATTCTATGTAACTTTAATAAAGTGACCAAGATTGATAAAAGGTGAAGCTATTAAAGCGGCGATGGTTTATTGGTCGTAGATATTGGTTACAAGAAAATGTATTTGTTTATCGAGACACTATTCATGAATCATCCATTGGATGCTTGCCTCTAATAATTTCTAGAAGGTTATAACGTGTGCATGTTTTAAAAAAATAATACGATATGCGAAAACGATTCACTAATAGTTTCTCGATAGAGTTTAATTGGGCTATACTTGTCAATTTGCTGTTTGAGGCTCCACTTCACATCTATAAATGAATGCAGTAATTGGCAGGACATCTATAAATGAATGCAACACCTGTCCAGATGAAAATTATATGATTGTGATGTGTTTACTGGTTTATTAAAATAAAAAAATACATTGGACAAAAAAAAAAGAATTAGAATTATCTTTTACATTGAGTATATGTCGTTGCTGCTTTTACTACGTTTTTAGAAAACTAGCCTAATGGCTATTGAAATAACTTGTGCGGTCGATGCGTGCTTGTATGTGTTAACCTTTATGAATCCCATGTAATGTACATGTTTGGCCTGATAAATCATTTTTTATTGTGCTAATATTGCAAACGAGTTTTAGAAACTTTACGGCAAATTTATCTTCTCAAAATAACTCAACCAATTTGATTGGGATCAAAAATATTGTGTGCTAATTTTTTTTTATTCCAAATAATTACTTAGACAAAAACCAATCCTGAGTGGACTCAAAATTCTAGACTCATTTAAGAGTTTCTAACCAAGCAGTAAACAACCAAGCAGTAAACAGCAAGCATCTAAAAATCACAGTAAGCATTAAGTTCTATTCTACACCATCCTGAACACTACTTTTAGATGACCTGAAAGCGAAAGTTGTTTACCTGTAGCATTCAAACCACACAGAGATGCAATCAGTAAAAACCAAACTAACAAGCTGCACTGGAGGACCCTTCAAAGATGATAGTAGCACAGATGGGTAACCAACAAGCAGCGTTACCTCTGGACTTGAAACTATACAATCACACGAACATTATCTCCACCTTGATCATCAAGTCTTTCACGAATGATCAAAAAAACATGTAAAACTTGCTAAGCTTCTCAAGATATTTTACATAGAAAGTTACAATTTTACAACCCGGTTTGCACCTACCATCCACACAAACTAAAACCAAGGACTCTGAACAAAATTAAATTAAAGCTCTTCTTCCCTGGGATCAAGGGAATGGAAAAGGAACTTCTAGCAGCAGGGACGGAGCCAGAAATTTATTTTTGGGGGGGCTGAAGAGTAAAAATAGCAGTAGGGTTGGACAGACGTACCTGCTAGAGTAGCAGGGGCAAGGCGGGAGGACTACCAACTACCCTACTTGAAACCTGCCCCGCTGCCAATCCTGCTACCTCCTTCCCTTTTTATATTCTCACTCCTCCCCCGTTACCAAAAAAAAAAATCAAATATTATTCAATTTATATCATAAATGCAATTTTTAAGCATATTTTTATGTTATATGCATCGCATCATGAAAATTGTAATAGAGCTTCTCCAAATAATTTTTTTCAAATAATTTCATATCCAAACACACTGAATTAGACGAAATTTTAAAAAAAAAGAAAAGAAAAGAAAAGGTAATCGAAAGTTGTAGAGCATGCTACATATAAGAGCGTTGCCAATAACCACTAGAGAATTGTACCAAGTGGTTCAGTAAAGCGACCTCACTCTCGATCGTGCTCTCAGTTACAAAGTTTCACACATTCCTTGGAGCTGCAGATACATTGTTGATTCTCGTAACACAAAATCTTCATAGTGCCATATGCGTTAACAGAAGCGAAACCAGTTATCAAACATAAGGTCAAAATCAGCACTACATACCTGACAGCCATCCTGCAATTCGTTTCCTTCTTTCCTTTCTTGCGGTCTACGGCTATATATAGGGGGTTTTCCGGCGGCTTGGGGGGGGCTTAAGCCCCCACCAGCCCCCCCTTAAATCCGTGGCTGTCTAGCAGACAAACTATCTTTGCTGCCTCATACAAGGAGAGTAACTGGGGCTTTCCTGACAGCAAGATAAATCATCTGTGCAAAAGAAATGAGACGCCATAGACCGCACTGTCCAGACAAATAAAAATCAAAGACTTGCAGAGCTTGCAAACTTTTCATAGTTCTTGGACTTAATATTAATGCTGCTCTGAGAGTTGAAATCGTTATTAAGTAGTTTAACAATTCGGTACCTAAAAGTTCCTAAAAATAGCAGCATTTAGGTTCCCAGAGTAAAGAAGATCCATACTGCCAAAATCATCCTTCATCCAACTCAATGAATAGTTGACACAAGAAAAGGTTCCCAATAAAAGTGGGCAATTTACCTGCAATGGAATTACATTAAGTACAGGCTGGAGACAGTCCTCAACACGAGGAACTTCAATTACTCGACAAGATCCACCAACTGATACAGATGCAGAATCTCCTTTCGTGCACATAACTATTAGTCGACCTTTCCTAGCATGAAGTTGCTGAATGACTGATTGTTGTTTGCTGCAGCAAAAGAGATGTTTATGGAACAGATATAATAAACACGAAACCACTAGTTTATCAAAAGGGCAAATTATCCAATTGGCCCTTTAACTCTTTGTCTGGGTAAAATTAAGCCCCTCACCTATTTTTTGCTGACTTTAAGCCCTTGAACTTATAAAAGTGGAAACCGTGGCCCTTTTAGCCAGTTTCTCCGGTTTTGCAACCGGAGGACCAATTCACACGAATGCAAGTGTGCTTCTTCAAAGGGCATTTTTGTCCGCATATTCTAAGCAAAAAGGGCACAACTCCTCCACCTTCCCTCCATTTTCCTAACCCAACCCAACTGCTAGTCGAAACTTCACAGCAACAATGGAAGCCAACAATGGAGTGGCAAGAGAAAGATTTTCTTGAGATTGGAGACAGAATCCATGGAGTTTTATGCTTATCCATCTCATTCTTTGCCTTCTTCTTCTTCTTTCTCATTTTCATTCAGGAATTTGGCCGATAAAGTTAAACGATATTTCAGCTTTGCAGTTTCTGCTATTATTGGAAATGTATTCTCTGCAATCTTCACCTTTTTCTTTGCACTAGGTGAGTGTTAATCCTTTAGTTTTCCTTTTAATTTAATTGTTTCATTATAATTATCCCGCTTGCCCTCTATCCTGCACTTTTTCTCTTAAAGTTTGCAATTTTGTGGTCAAATGGCCATTGATTCTAGATTTACTTGTGTTATCTGATGTGAATTTGCACATATGCGATCTGGGATGTTGACGATTTTTCAAATGATGTTCTGTACAAATTATCTTGTAGAATTTGCCCATATTTATTTATCAAAAAAAGAGAGAATTTTACTAACCTCCTCCTTTTCTCTCATCTTTAGTTTTGTCTAAGATCTTGCGACTGGTAGTTCATAATGTTGCCAAATTTGGTGTATTGCGGTATTGTCTTTAGATCATTTGATACTTGCACGAAAAGCGAGAATCTTTGGAATCATTCTGAAATCTTGTTGAGCATTCTGAAATTTGCTGTAGACGAAAAGCAACAATGGAGTGGCAAGAGAAAGAATTAAGCAACAAGTCGAAACTCCTTGTAGGAAAGATTTTCTCTTGCCACTCCATTGTTGCTTCCATTGTTGCAGTGAAGTTTCGACTAGCAGTTGGGTTGGGTTAGGAAAATGGAGGGAGGGAGGAGTTGTGCCCTTTTTGCTTAGAATATGCGGACAAAAATGCCCTTTGAAGAAACACACTTGCATTCGTGTGAATTGGTCCTCCGGTTGCAAAACCGGAGAAACTGGCTAAAAGGGCCACAGTTTCCCACCTTTACAAGTTCAAGGGCTTAAAGTCAGCAAAAAATAGGTGGGGGCTTAATTTTACCTATACAAAGAGTTAAAGGGCCAATTGAATAATTTGCCCTTATCAAAACATTCAACTAACCTGAAACAAGCATCACGAGTAGCTATCACAACAATTGGAAGGTTGTGATCCACTAAAGCTAAAGGTCCGTGTTTCATTTCACCTGCAAGAATTCCCTCGTTATGCATAAGAGCAACCTCCTTTACCTTCAAGGAGCCTTCTAGGGCTGTTGCATAATTATATCCTCTTCCAAATACAAGAAGTGATTGTTCATTAATGAGCAGTTCAGCAAGATCTTTCATTTCCTCATCCAGCTTGAGAACCTCTTTCACTTTGCCTACCATTTTCAAAAGCATAATACAATAGAATTAGATACCTCAAATAATAAATACTACTGTTTTCACTTTGCCTACCGTTTTCACTTTCGTTTTGACAAATAAATAAATAAATACTAGAAAGCACACATTTGTAGGCAGAAAAACTAAAGAATGCTGTAGCTGCAATGCAAGAAACAAGCAAGACGCATACTCGACAAGTCTAGGAGACCATCTATTATTGCTTCTCTCCTTGCTTCATTTGAAATCATGTCTCCTCCAACAGCAAGGGCCAACATTGCCATAACTACAATTTGACTGGTGTATGCCTGTTGATTAAGGGAACAACATAACAAGTCACATAATAGTAAAACCAAAAGAAAAAAGAATAGAAGGAAGTAACGCCAAAAACAAAGTGCCAATTACTTGCCTTAGTACTCGCCACACCTATTTCACAACCAGCATTAATATGCACACCGCAGTGGGTTTTCCTTGCAAGCGCACTTCCTACAATATGTGTGATTCCAACGCATAATGCACCATTTTCTAAAGCATCATCTAATGCCTGTAAAGTATCAGCAGTTTCACCAGACTGACTGACAAAAATAGCTGTGTCTTCCTTGTATATTGGCCCCTGCCTATCCGCTAAATCACTAGCAACCTCCATCGTAACCGGAACTCCTGTATACAGGAGAAATCAGTGTAAGAATCAGTTTACTAGATGTCATCATCCAAACAGTATAGCAACAGCTAACAACTAGTACCGGTCGATGTATTTGTGCTCCACATATAGTTCTTCGAACAGCAATTTCTAAACCAATCAGAGCCAACCCGAATTGGTCTTGTAAAAGATCCGCTACAAAACGAATACGTTTATTTTTCAAATGATTCATATCATCAAGCGTACTCATTCCAAATTTTAGTCCAATCAAATGATCGGCGGCTGCCAATATATCTCGGGCAGTATGGTCTGGAAGTTGGTCAAAATCTTATATTTATATAGATGCGGTGTATAAAGTGTCTTCGTGTATCCATTGCATTTTGCTTAAGTGATGTTTTCTTTTATGTTGCATATGAATTAAATTTTCAGTTTTTTTTATTAATTCGTGGTTTACCTTGATGTGATTTTAAGATTGTATTTCAGTTTTAGTGGGTTTTTTCAGTTTTTACTTTTTGTGTGTTAATGATTTGCCGAAATGATTTTTGGTTGGTAATGTTTGGTGTAAATGATTGATAGTGCTCTTCCAATCGGTGTCAATGATAAATAATGGTATTTCAATTTAAAACTTTTTTTCGTAATGTGGGCCTTAAGTTTTGTACTACCTTTATGATTTTAGAGCTTGTGTGATTGATAGTGAAAGTAATAATGAAATTGGCTATATTTGTACTGACGTTTGATATGTTCTTTTAGTGGTGGAGCCAGAAAAAATTTTTAGTGGGGGCAAAAACAACACCAAAATTTTTTACCTACTCTTTTTCTAATTTTTTAAGAAAAAAAAAATTACCAACAAGTACAAATGATGCACATATTCCAAGAAAAACATAAAAAGATAAATTCAAAATTATTAATGTAATAATAATTTTATTTAAAAAATAAACTAAACTATTTACAATTGCTCACTGCGAGTTTTTATATTTTGATAACTAACTTGATTGTGGAAGTAAGAATGGCTCTCGGTTGTGGAGGGAAAATGGGGGACCAGTGGATGGAAGGGAAATTGGGAAGTGGGGACAAAGGAAGTGAATGATATGATTGGATGAATTGATCAAGAGAAAGAGTAGCTAGCTGCTTGGTTGTGGAAAGCAGTGGCTCTCGGTTGTGGGGGAAAAATGGGGGACCAGAAGAGGAAAGGGAAATTGGAGAGTTGGGCCCAAAGAAAGTGAATGATATAATTGGTTGCTAGTTAAAATGAAAAGACTTTTTTTTTATCTTATTTCAAATGAAATTTGTACCCCACGTATTTTTTTAGAATTTTAGTTTATGAACTAACTTAAAAAATTACTCCCTCCATCCCACTTTGATAGTCCTGTTTCGCTTTTTCGTCTGTCCCAAATTGTAGTCCACTTTTCAATTGAAGAATGTAGTTGTATTTTAATTTTTCTAAAATACGCTTATTCAATGTAAGTTGTTGTTACTATAAACCTACTCCATTTAATGAGAGTTTATTTTTTTTTTACCATCAATTCAAGTTCTCATAAAGTTGTACTCTAATTAATGTGAGGGTATTTTAGAAAAATAGCTACCTAAATTGATTGTTCCAATAAAGTTAACTACTTTTTCTTAAACTGTGTGAAAAAAAAATCAGGACTATCAAAGTGGGACGGAGGGTCCGAGAGAGTACGTAATTTTTTTGCATCCTTTCTAAGAAAACTTTGGGGGCACACTTAAAATTATATCAAAATTGTATAAGTATTATAGGAATTTAAGGAGAGCACTGGGGGCCGTGCCCCCACCTTAAATCCCCCCGTGAATCTTTTAACTTGGATATTCTATAAATAAATCCGCCCGTGAATCTTTTAACTTGGATATTCTATAAATGTAGTAATTTTATATTTTTATATGATAATGAATGGCAATCTAATTGATCAAATGCTTTCCCTGTATCCAAAACGTCACAAATACAATGTATTTCTTTTTTTTTTTTTAAGTCAATAGGGTTGTCATTGGCTTGATCGAATGAGCGAAGATTGAAAAGCTCAGCCCATCTTGACAGCTGCTTTCTAATTTCCAAACCACATATATGCAACGACTTGCAAGTCTTCAGCAAAGAGCAAGAAAAGAGTTATGATACAGGACCAAACTGGATATGATTATATTCATTTTTTTTTCCTGAGCAATTTATTGATACTTCTAGCGCCATAGCAATTCGCGAAATCTCTCTATCACAATTTCGATGTCATGTTTTTCTTTCCAGAAAAATCGATTATGGAACATCCAGTAGCTCGTGTAAAAAAAATTAAAAGAAAAAAAAAAACAATTGCTATGCCTGTCCCAATGTCTTTGGCACCTTCTGAAAGTTTTCAATAGCGGATTTAAACTCAACTCAATTGTTAAAGTGTTAACGAACCAATTAGAGGCTAGTCACTTCTCCCACTCACCTGCTCGCCAAAAATTGGGGTCTATTTATGTGGCTGCGAGTAATATATAATGGTATGATCATTGAAGTAGTACACCATCACTCAATTAAAGCAAACCATTACAACTAATAATTCATTGGCACCAATTAAAGGGCAGTCAGCTTGGACTAATACAACTATTATTGGTTCAACTGATTTGCCTCTAACATAAATGTAACAGCTTATATTTCAGTAGTTCCTTTAATTAATGTCCTTAAGACACTCATCAAGACACATCCAAGTGCACATAGTTAGACATTTTAACAAACTAGTAATAAAACACATGCTTTGCACGTGAACATGATGCTTTTAGATTTTTTTTTTCCTTTAAAATTTTTAGAAAATCAATTGTTTTGAAGGAATAAACGTAATTGAGACAAAAAAAAAATGATATTTAATATTTATATTATTTTATATTTTTCTGAACTTAGTTTTCCGTAACCAAACATACACAAGTAATAAATCACTCTTTGTTTTTAGAGTACTTTTTATTTTGTAACAGTATCAATATTTTTATCTTTTGGTTAAATTTAGATGACCTAAATGTTCTTTTTTATGCCATTTGAGTTTAAATTTTCAATTTTTTGAATAACTTGTTGCTCCCTTTAAGTTATTCTATGAATTGTTTATTAGTTTTAGTGAGATTTTCTAATTATTATTATTTTTTGCTAATGGCGGATTGTAAAATGATCTATAGTGCTACTGTAATTATAATAGTATCTAAATATATTGAAATTCCATTATTCGATTTTAAATAGATTAACTTTAGAGAGAAATGTTTTGATTTGGTGAAACTTATTTGTATTTCTCACTGATGACATGCTTTATGAATATAGAGTTTCTATGATTAACAATTGTAAGACATTAAGGTTATTTATTATATAATAATTAAATTGAACTTGGATATACTTTTATTCACCTTTGAAATACTCCTTGAAATTGATATTTTATTAAAAAAATATTTTTTGGCTTAATTCACCATAACTCAAAGGGATGTTTCGACTTTCTAATTATTATTATGATTAGCATTGATGAACATAATATTCATTAATTTTAGTTTAATACTATTAGTTGTTACAAGAATATGATTGATAAAGTCCATTAAATTTAATCTTTATTGCAACTTAAATAAATAAATTCCTAACACAAAACTCTTTGCCTACCTTGGCACTCCATTTCCTATTTTATTTTCTATTAAAGTTTTTTTACTCCATAGTAATAGATGCCTATTAAAAAGATACTCTTCAGACATAATTAACTTGTATCCAAAAAATAAAAAAACTCGTGGTATTTTTTAAGAGACTTACAGTACCAATTTGTTATGTTTTGTTTCATGTTTGAAGTACACTAACTTAGATTTTGTAAATAAAATTTGTTCTTCTTTCTTTTGGTAAATAAAAAGTAAGGAATCTTTCATATTTGTAACTGCTAGCCTATTTGATATTATTTATTAGTAATGAAATACAATGCAATTTGTCTATTTATTAGAGAGGAGTGTATTTTTGGTAAAAAAAAAAATTAATATCATTTTTGTTACATTATTAACCACTAAGTTTCACCATATTTTTTAAAAATTTAAAAATAAATTTTATTCTTTTTTTATTTAATTCACTATAACTCAAATTCTAATAGTTTATTTTTATTCTAAATACTTGTGATGCCCGAAAGAAAAGAAAAGGGAAAAATTTTCTGGTGACCAGAATTTTTGCAGAATCCGGCGGCATAATCCGGCCAGTTTCTGGCTGGATTGGTTGGCTCATTTGAAAAAAAAAATAATTTCTTCACTGCCTTGAATCCGGCCTGGAATCCGACTAGAAATCCGGCCAGATTCCGGCCGGATTGTGACGTGGCATGTCGGCCATCAACTTTGACCAGTTGATTTTCTTCCTTCTTATCTTGTTTTGGTTGGGATTTTTCCTCATTCCTTTCCTTGGCTTGGCCGGCTGTTGAGAGAGGAAAAACAAGAGAGATTTCTTCATTTTTGCTAGTTTCAATCTTTGCTCAAATCTTGGGATTTCACCGATGGTTTTGGAAACTACTCCATACAAGTGTGTACTAAGGAGGTTTAAAGCTTTTGACGGAGTGATTTTTGGAAGGGAAGCTCTAAGTTGCTACCTTTCTTGAGTTATGAGGTAAGTTGCTTGGAAAATTTCCTCTTTGTTCTAATAATGGTATATTGGTGGTTTGTAGAGGTTAGAGATGCTATTTTGGGGATGATTTCATGATTTTAATTAGAGTTGGACCAATTTCTGATTGATTGGGGAATTTTCTGATTTTATATGAGAATTGTTGTTTGGCTTTGGAATGATAGCTTGTTGTGGTATAAAATGGAGCTTGTATACGTTGGATACGATTGTTTGCGGAAAATTTCTGGTTTGTGCGGAAATTTCGATTTTAGGGTTTAATTTGGGGCTTTCTTATTGTGGGTTCCTGTGCACTTAATTGGTTAAGATTGAAGGGGGTATTATGACCTTTATTAAGAGTGTTTAATAGCCTATGATGTATATGTGCTATTGTGGTTGATAGTTATGGATTTGGTGAATGTTTGTA